ATTTTTGTATATAAATATATTGCATCAGGAAGCTAAAATTAGATGCATTTACATATGAATTTAAAATGTCCAAAAAAAAAAACTGAAGTTAAGATGTGTAAATTATGTATATTCCTTAACAAATAATTTTAGGCGTATTAATCTAGTCCTCATAGTTTCAATATTCTTTATCTGTAACATTCCTGCCACAAAATTTTATGTCTAACTTGCAGCGTGTACGGTTTTTCCGGTATTTTATATAAAGAGAACACCCTAAAATAGTGCAATGCAGTTAAAAAGTTCTACACAGGTGCAATTTTTTATTACATAATGTAAATAAACAGAATTATTAATCCAACAAAAAAGAAACAATGACTAGTAAAAGAACAACTAGTCATTTGGGATTTGTCCAGCCGAACATCTAGATAATTATTTTTCTGTCTTTAATTGTTATTTGTTAGAATTACTATAATTTTTGGCCTGTAGGGCAAGTTAAATTTGATTTATTTAAAATTTTTTAAGTATAAAAAGTTGTATATTATAAAAATATATCAATACTGTATGTATACATATATAATATTTGCATAGTTAAAGTAGAGCACGTGTCTGTTTATTTTGTCGGAATCGTCAATGTCAGATGCGTAAGATTTATTGTGAATTAAAATTTTGTTATTGTTTTGAATTATATAGTATACACTCTTAAAAAAGTATATTAAAACTGTAAATCTTGATTTGCAAAGAACAATAAAAGTTCGATTCATTAAAGTATAAGAAAGAGGGCAGTGATTTTGATTTTATTAGAAAATGCATGCATGCATTGCATTCGGCAATATCTCTGCCAATGGCTAGATCTATTGCAGTATACTTCAATTTACACACAAGCTATGTTTTTAGTAAGTTAAAAACAGAAGGAACTAAACGGAGTCTTGAATAATGCTCAAACATAGAAGTTCAAAAACTGAAGGTCATCAATTGAATTTTAAGCGTACGGAGTGTGAAATAAGCAATTACTTAATGAAGGAGAACTTTTAGTAGTAGAGAATCGAAAGCTCGACGTAAAACAAACAAAACACTGTAATTTACTTCAAAATATTTTGCCGGCTTTTAATTAAACTATAGTATTTTCCAGAATAAACATAAAGCCAATGTGCTGGATTTTAATCTGTATCACTACGCAACGAAATTTTCGAAAAAAAAACTGAAAATTCAAGTATTCCGTGTAAATTTTATGACGTCATGTAGTGTTTTTTCGTTTTTATAATCTCAGATTTCTTGCAAAAATATGGAAAATTTCAAGTAGATTATAACAGTTTGAGAGGAACAGGAAGTTCGATAATTTTCATTTATACTAAGATAAAATTTAAATAATGAAGGCTTAGAGAAAAATAGATTTAAATTTGAACCTTATTATTTTTAAGTTAAAATTATATGCGACGCCATCTGTTATGAGATTTTATTTTAAAATAATTCTTATATTAATGATTCTATAAAGGCAAAAAGCTTAATTTAATTCGTTCCCGACCTTCAAAATCAGTACATAAATAGCGTTCTGCATTATATTTAACAACTGAGAAATAATAATTATATTTAATTTAATAATAAATGTTCGTTATTTTATTTAAAGATGAATTCTTGGATGCCATTTATATTACGTGAAAGTAAATAACGCAGTTTTTAATAATTTGATTTAAATTCGACCGTGGCGCGAACCGAAAAACGGAAATGGTATATTTTCCGCACGCGCACCCGAATTTTAATTTAATTTAAATAGCAACGTCGATGATTCGTATCGTGGCGTCAGGCGATGTAGGCGCCACTAACTTTCGAATCGGTAGTCCCGTCGGCTTTCTTTAACGTAGAAAGTGTAGTACCGAGTAGCTTGTTCGGTAACCGGTGCAGTTATGAGTTCAAAATTCCGTTCGTAAACCGATCTGTTCGAAAAGTGAGGCGTTCGAAACCCGAAGTTTGACTACACTTTATCGTCATTGCTATATCCGCTACCTACCATACCGATATTCAAAAACATGAGAATAATATATGTAATACATTGTTCCCATTACAGTTAACACACTTCTGTCGGAATACGTTTGAGGGACGTACAGTACAGTACCCACTAAGATGTATCCAGTAGCCGAACCAGGGAGGGCCCGGTTCCCTTGCCTTTGTAAATTAAGTAAAAATTCAAAAATAAACGGATGTGACAAACTTATACACCTGTATACACATCCACAGCGCTATTGGTTACTTCGATAATTGTATAGGAGTGAATGCTATAATCAATACGGCGTCCCGATGTCAAATATAATTAATTATTCAAAAATCGAGTTTACACACTAGTTATAAAATTCTATTTATATGTTACCTTTTCTTGTCTCGAAGAAAACTGTTTCGACTCGCGGTAGCAGCCATTATAATTTGTTTACTATTCCTCGTGTTAGATAAGAAAATGTCGGGATTTCGATGTCAGAAGTCTTGAGTTCGAAAGGAAATTATATTTCATCAAATTTTGATACCGAAACTTATCATCATCGGTCATTCCATCATCAAGATGGCTACCCGATTATCGAAGCAGACGACGAATGCCAAAGACCCGGATGTTTCGTTAGGTTTAAATTCTTTAATATGATTGGTCGTTGTGTAACCGACTTGTTAGATATATTTTCTTCAATGATAAATAATGTAATACTTTCTTAGAGAATCTTTCGTTTAAAATATATTTTTGAATCGAAAAACAAAATATATGTATGTCTATGAAAAAAATTTCATGTTTGGAAAAATTATTTTAGACTCGGATATATTAAAAATATTTAACGTATTTTTATTTTCTTCCGAGTGAAATATATTCCACCACATTAGCGAAGCGGTCAAGGTGGCAGCCTACCGCTCTGGGGGACCCGGGCTCGAATCCGAACGGGTCGAAAAATCCCCAGGAATTTTTCGGGGGTGGTCCGTTCGGATGTGTCGGGCCCCGTCCCTCACCACCCGGCAGCCCCATTGTGGACCTGATCGAACTCATAATGGGCTTGCAAAAAGAGGCCCTCTTATTGCCCACAGAGCGGAGAGTTAAAAAAAAACAATGTCAAACATGATCAATATATTTTTTAAAATACATTAAAATTATTATATTATGTAGAAAGCGGGCATATTAATCTGCAAACTTATCGGAAAAAATTGATCAGTAAAATACTTAAGTTGAATTTATACAAAATCCAATCTGCAAATTTTAATTTAAAAAAAACGGATTTATTTACAATTTAAAGGATTTACAACATTCGAATTGCTCATTACTTTTTACTATATTTTCCAATCGCCTAAATGTTGGCTAAAATCCCCAATAAGTATCATCTGATGAAGCATCAATAACGAACAGGATTTGAATAGCATTAATTAAGCATCGTTTGGTTGATTTAATTTTCATTTTAAATTATTAAAAGTAACTTAATATATTTAAAGCAGACTTCTAAGTTGTAAATGTTTTGATGACACCGATACTGTAACACAGACCAAGTACTTTAAAATTCAATCTTCTGTTTTTAACAAATTTTGAAACAGGACAGGATAGTTTTAGATTTATTAAATTAATACTAAAATATTTCAAAATTTGATATTGAAAAGTCATTTTGGTGTCTGTCCGTAACCGTAAGGTAATTACAGTTTGTGTTAATATGGTTACACCGTAGACAAGAATGTATTTAAAAAGTAACTTTTTAATTCAAACTAGTTATTGAGGGTATAGTGTTAAGTAGTTTAGTTTGCATGCAACAAATCAATCAGTTGTTATAAAAAAGAAAAGAGAGAAAAGAAATTTTACAAGTTGTATTTGCATAATAATAGTTCAAAATTGATCACATTTTAATTAACTGTTTTCAAGTTGTGTACTATATTATTAAAAAGTTAAATTGATACTTTGTAATTCATTTCAATAGCATTTTTTCCCTTCACGTCTCCATGTATACTTTCACTAACAAATTAAAACATTAAATTATAGGTGAAAATAAAATATTGCCCTGGTGCAATCTGATAGATTTCGTAATTAAAAACACACTTGTAAGTTTTTAATAAACGGGTTCGCCATAGATTTTCTGGCATCACTTAATCTGGGCAGAATTAAGAGGGCAAATAAAACTCCCATAGCTGCCAAACATCCATTTGTCAAGTGGACACATTTGGAACCGTGTTGCAATCATTGGAAATTCCTCTAAACCATCTAATTTTTAATTCATTTTATTAGCATTTAACTCAAGCTACTGCCTTAAAAAAAGATGAAAATACCAGTCTATATTTTGTGTATATATTTATATTTCTAGCAGCCCATCGTGTATTGGAAACACCGGACGCATGTAATTAATGATCTGGGACATATTATAGTTAACGCGTGACCTTGGAATGTCAGGCCAAATGATTAGTCCAAAAAGGCTTCGGAACAAAGCCTGCTAAAAATATTGGTGACAATATTTTTGGCAGGCTTAATCTGTAAATATCTTAAATTACTGGTTAAAAATTTAACCAGTAATTTAGATGTTAAATGCAAATTTTATTTTGATATTCTGTAAGCCTATTATTTAGATTAACAAACATCAGACACAGAAGATTTTGGCTGTTAAAAAAAAAACTATTTACAAAACAAGATATATAAGGTTAAATTTATTTTCAGCATTAAAAACAAACAAATTCTTCATAATAAAAAAATGTTATAATTTGTAAACTATATAGATATTAATGCTAGAAATTTCATCATATTAAAAATTGTTAGACCAAATAATTTGAAGCATGTGTAATTGTTGAAATTTTCATCACTAATTCTCTGATCTTTGAACCTAATGTAAAGAAATTAAGTGTTTTTTAAATAAAAATTCCAAGTAACTTATATCACATAATATGAAATTCTCTGTATATTATATATTTGTACCAAAGCAGACTATTAAAGCTTTTGGAATGAATAAGCAGCTGTTATTAATAAAAATGCAAAACTTCAATCAAGAAAAAAAACAAAATGCTAAATAATCTGAAAATATGCTCTATAGTTTTACAACATAAGCCTAGTTTATTTACAATAAAAACTTTTAAAGTTTTTACACTACTGCTCTAATTTTGATTAGACTAGCATATTTGAACTTTGTTATTTTATTAATTTTAACAAAAGGTGCATTTTTTTATTTTTTTCACATTAAAGTGTATAAATGCAAACGTCAGTTATTCCCTCCTTTTTTTTTTACAAAAAGAAAAACAAAGAAAGTTGAATTATTTTACAACAACAATAAAGAAAATTTTAACATCAAACATGCATTTTAACCAACTACTGATTAACGTTTGAAAATTTTGCAAAAAAGTTCTCGAAAACATTCAGTATATTCCAACGCTAAGTGGTATTGCAACGGATCAGTTCTCTTCAAGAATGAACGTGGGTCGGTCCGAGGTGTTTTTGCCGGCAACTTTCCCGGATACGAGACGAACGACATGAATAGAATCCCGGCAGAGTCTTGCAAATTAAAGGAATTGGAGACGTGGCAAATAGTTTTCGTAGCCGGTGATGAAATTCCATGGTGTGGGTCGATTAGAAGAGGACGCAGCACCTAGCAGAGACAGATATAAATCTCTATCACCAGTTATTCATCCATTGTTTTGCTGCATTGGCATGATGTTTTAGCAATAGAAGCAGCATATACTGCAAGACCTTGTTTAAAACTACAGCTCTTTCCTGTCATGCCTGAAGAATAAGAAATAATGCAATTCACTAAATGTTCACAGGCATCGACATTTTAAGTTTTTTTAACAGTCACAGCCATAAAAAGATGCACTTTAATTAAATTTGGAATAAACTAATTTTGTTGGAGAACAAAATAAAATATATAGTTATACTTAAATATATAATGGCATAGACAACATTCCATTAAACATACAAACCATGTCCATGCATGAAATTTTTAAAAAATATATCATTAATTATTAAACTAAGGATTCTTCTTAGTGCCACCTGCCAGGCCATTGAGATTCCTTGTCAGTTAGCGGCACATAAACCACACCCATTAACTGACTGCGTTTTATTGTTCCGTCCGACAGCTTGTCCACCTGTTCCAACATTTGATTGTGTCCTTCTTTACCAACTGGAATAATTAACCTTCCTCCTGGTTTCAGCTGGTTAATTAGCTAATGGATAAAATATACTAATTAAATACGATTGAACTTCATTTAATTCCTAACTCAATTATACATTTACCTCCTGTGGCATTTCTGGAGCAGCTGCTCCGACATGAATTGCATCGTAAGGTGCATCTTCTTCATATCCCTTTCTACCATCTCCAACTGTTGATTTTGTAAAACATTTTGTATGCAAACTTTTAAAAGTAAGATAAAAATGATAATATAAATTGATATTTCTTACCAATCATCTTAATACTTCCAGACTTAATTAAATCTGGTTGATCTTTATTGATATTTTCAATAGACATATTAACAAGTTCCGGAATATGATCGATTCCCACGGCTAAGCCATTTTTACCCACCTATTGTCACAGTATTCATTAAAGGTTAATTATAATTACAATTTATGCAAAACTGTCAATTGTCTTACCATTAATGCCATACAAGCAGTAAGATAGCCACTTCCTGATCCTACGTCTAGTGCTTTAGCTCCTTCGTATAAATTATCTTTTAGAAGTTCTAAGGCATGTGCATGCTGAAATTAAATTTTATAAGAAAACAAAGTATATTGTCAAGTAATTGTCAAGTAATTATACAATCATAATTACTAACTCACCATGTGTGGAGCACTAATCGTAACTGCAAATCCAATCCCCTGGGGAGAGTCCATATAAGCATTGTGCTTGCAGTAATTTCCTCTGTCAACAGCCAGCATTGCTTTCTCCACTCTTTCTGAACGTATGATCACATTTTCTAAAATATTGAGTTTTTATATCAATTTTAAAACTAAAATAATAATCTATATAAAATCAAAATGAATCCCAAGTAAGGGATTTAAAGAGAGAACCAAATCTATATTTTTAAGAGTGACATTAACAAACTGACAATCTATTTTGGTGAAAGTTAAACCAAGAAATTTAAAAATGGAAAGCTTAGCTCATCTACACAAAAATGTTACCTGGAAACTCCTGTTGTGTGCAGATGAGAATTATCCTGTTAGAAAATGGTCATTTGCAGCCCTGCCACAAAATAGAACACAAGGGTGCAGCAGGATTTCCTGAACTTACCACTATGTTGTCAATGTCTCTCACAGCATTACTAGGGAATGATCAACTAACATATGAGATGGCTCCCCAGCTTATCATTGTCAGCAGGGGGTAGAGTACCGCTTGGCAATAAAGTTAAAATTGGAATGCTTACCAGTGATTCTCCACACTAACACATGATTGTCCATTCCTCTGTCATTGCAAACAAAGCTGGAAATGCTGGGCTACTAATAGCAGGACAGAGCAGTCTCTGTGCTTGCAAATTTGCCTCTGTTGGTCACTGCTAAATAATGCCAATGATATGGGAAGAGACAAAGCTCTGTAGTAAGGGTACATCCTACCTGGCAGCGTCCAGTGACTGCAGGTGTGAACGTGCTTCCAAGCAGAGTGGACAAACTTGTTCAAGCAAATGTGAGTGTCCAGAGTAACCTCATTTAGCATGCAGCTATGATGATACTTCAGCAGATGACACTTCTACACATGCTTGCAAGAAGCAGCTACTAAGCAAGTTTGACTGATGCTTCCACTGCTTGCACTTAGATTCCAAAGAAGAAAATGGCTGATTTTGTAGATGAATGAAAACAGAATGACAAATTGTTTATATGTTATATACTTTAACTAGCTGTTACACACGACTTTGCCCAAGCAGATTTTGCAAGCAAACCCATTTATATTCAGTATTTCAACAACCTTAGTAATTGTTATATAACACCCACCGATAAGAATGATAAGAATTGCTGAGAATCAAATGAACTATTTTCAATTTGATCAATTTTTTGGAACATTTACAATCATTCTATAATCGAACCAATATACAATAACAAATTTGAATTTAAAATGGATCTAACATTTGGTTAAAAAATCAAAATATATAAAAATATTTATAACAATGTCTGAAATGTTATCAATTTAATACACATAAGTACTCAATGAAAACTAAATGTAGTTGAAAACAAAAAAATTGCATCTAAAATAGTATAGTAGCCATTCTTCAGGTTAAGCCTTAATCCTCTCCCCCCACAGGGAGAATTTCCAAAATCCCTTCTTAGTGTGCTTACCCTAACTGTGTACAAAATTTTACCTCTAGGTTCAGCAGTTTGCTCGAAAACAGAGTAACAAATAAATTGTGTATACATGTTGTATATGTTTAATAATTTTTATGTAATTTAATAATTTATGATTTTGTAAATGCAACATTTTAAAAATAAACTTTTTTTTTTAACTTACTCTGTGAAGATTCCTTATATTTGTTGTTTATCTAGTTAGTGATAACATTTACCTTTCAAATTTAACATTTTAATGCTTGTCATATCATCCATAGCAAGCACTGGACAAAGTTGTCTATCACCATTTCGTAAACAATATGCATTCACTCTGGACAGAGTTTGCTGGCAAGTTGGAAGCATGTACAAAGATTCTTTCCACTTATTGGTGCTGGATGCTGAATGTTGATAAAGATGTTGGATAAAGATGCCACAGCAGCTGTTTCATGATCAGATCTGCTGGTGGTCTCTCCGGGGTGACCAGAGTCAGCCCTCAGCATAATTGTGTCTTTTGTGTATTCATTGCCCCATCACTCTTCACAGTCAGGTCAGAACAACTCAGATGGCAGGCATCCTGTAAAATGGCCATCCTGCTTCTCTCAACCAATGATGTGGCCTTTCTCAAATTTCATCAACTGTGTATAATGTCTAACTGCACTGTACAGGTATGTCTAGTGTTCATAAACTGCTTGCAGATGTTATGTTCAAAATTTTTCTGCAAACAGTGAGTATCCAAGTTTTTTTTTATAGAATACCAAAGTAGTGATTTTATGGAACTCTGGTGGCATTATCTGGTGTGCACTCAATCATTTATAAACCTAGCTGTATGTTGAGTTTTGCAGTAACAGGACAATTCTGTCTGGACGAATGACTTTTTGTCAACGAATGTACAGTAATACCTCGACTTACACTACCCCGGAGTTATGCGATTTTCAAATCTCGTCGATTCGTCTTTTGTTTGAGCGCCACGCAACTCTTGATTATTCACTCCCCCTCCCATACTATTGTTCAGCTTACACGTTCAGACGTGTCGCGCAGAATCGACATATAGCTACAATTTATTTTCTGTTATTTATTTCTGTGTTTGTTATATCTATGGAGACTTGAGAGACTCTACTATGTCGTCCAAATGAAGTAGAACTGATTCTTCTGCATCAAACAAGAAAAGAAAACTTTATCTTTGGAATGTAAAGTTAACATTATTAAATACTTCGATATAAAACTGAAAATTTAAAAAATGCTCAATATTTAAATTCAAGAATCATTCATAAACGTCATGGTATTATTGCCGAGATGGAAACAATGTTAAAATTATGGTGTGATAATCAAGTAAATGTGAAAAATTGTATAATAATATAATTTGTTATACATATGTATTATCTAAGATTTTATTAAACATTTTTTTCTACATTATTGTTTTCTTTAGTCTTCGGCCCTAATTAAAAATTATTTGTATGTATTTATATGCGAAATTATACCCAGACTTACGCACATTCGACTTATGCGGTTATCGTTCGGTCCCACCTAATGCGTAAGTTTGGGGTATTACTGTATTAAATTGTTTGATTAATTTTTGATAAGGTATAAAGGAAGAATGTCAAAAACTTCAATTATTATGCTATTTCAGTAATAAATTAGATGTTACCAGCAACCAACTAGAAACAACACGCTTAACAGGATTAGCCATTGTATTATTACATTGTAAACAATTACACTGTCTAATTTGTACACTGCCAAATATTCACACAATTGTACATAAGCAAATAATAATGATAGTTACAGACCAAAATAGTAAAGGTATCTCTTTGAGGATCTGGATTAAAAGTCTGAAACCTCAACATTTTCACCAATAGTTTGATCCAGCTATGCTGAGTTCTACCATCTAGTTCTCTTATTACAGACCTGATAAAACCAGTGATGGGCACAACAAAAAGCACTCAGTGCCCACAATATAAAGATAATTATTTTAAAATATTTATAAAAAAGATCAAACAATAAACTTCATTTTTATATGATTCATTTGTATCCACATTGTAGTTTTTAATATACTTTTAATTAAAAATCAAATATTTTAAAATTTGATCATTTCTATAAAGCCATTAACAATTTCCACTTACTCTTAAGATTTTGGATCAATTCATAATTATTTTTTCCATGAGATCTCCAAGCCATCTGAACTATATCACTAAATACCATTAGAACAATGCCAAAAATAGTAAATTTCCGAGACATTTACATCTGTCCTGCAAAAATATAAAAAATTCATAATTACAAAAATTATAAATTATTATTAATAATTCTTATTTGGTATATAATTCACTTAAATATTACTATTATCTTAAATTTAGACACCATGAACTCTCAATGTAGTGAATCCTCAAAGGACCAAGCCAAATCATTCACTCCCTACACAATAGTAAGGAATAGCAAAATTGTTCACCGCATAGAGTGTCCACTGTATTAATGTTCACTAATTTAGAAAATATTTTGCACATTACATTAAAAAATGTAACTAAGGTAAAATTTTTCAAATAAACAGACTTTTAAATCAACCTTCTAAAAAATTATAATTTAAATATACATGTGTGAAGTTTTATCAGTGTTTCATATAATAGTTTCTGGCTTATAAAAAAATTATTTTTTAATTTAAAATTGGACATAATTGTAGATATAAAAAGTGATTTATAAAGAACTTTACAACTTTGAATGTATGTACAATTTTAAACAGAAGACTTACAAAATTGGTTGGGATGTTAATTTATAGCAAAACACATTAGTTTTACCTTAGTCATTAGCAAATAAATAAAAAATTGAATGAAATACTGGGAATTAACTGTCTTTTAATTAGCTTCTGAAGTGAAGCAGCAAGTCTATCCACACACTACCAATGACTGAATAATTAATGCTGAATGACACTCTCACAATTAGGATTCCTAAAAATTTTTTTACCATTGTGCATTGTAGTCTTGCAGAACCAGTGAAAGAGATTTGATCTGTTCACTCCAGTTCAGAACTGATTTATAAAATATTTTTAGGAACTTTTTGTCAAGATTGTACTTGTAATAATATTTATTTAGATGATTTATCATATAAATCTATTTTTACATAAGACTGTCAACTTTTTAATAGTACAAAGCAGACTGAGTGGAACAAAAGAGAAAGACTATGCAATAGAGCAGAGCTTCTTAAGTTTTTCCTTTTGTAACCCTCTATTACCCACGAAAATTTTAAGCAACTCCTGGTGAAGAGATATATATAATAGGTAAACAAATTAAATCACCTACTAATAATAAATCAAAGAAATAATTTAATCCAAAACAATTCTTTGCCATTTATTACAATTTATTAAAGATAAAAACAAATTTGCATACTAATGAGATAGGTATGTTTATTTTTACATGAATTAAATCTTGGCTGAATATTTGATAGCAGGGCTATCCATACATCCACACTGGAAGGGAGGGATATGACAAGTTGGACAAGTGAGACAGGAAGGGTCGAACTTCAATGGATGTCCATTGTATTTCAGTAAATTTTACACAGGTTATGCACTTTATTATTCATAAAGGTTTTGAGGGGGTTGAGTTTAATCAAACATCCAAAGAGAAGAGGGGGGAGTAAAAATTTCAAGAAAAATGCAGACATAATTTATGGACAGTCCCATATGGCAAAATGCAAACCATCTTTGACATTTTTCAGAGTTGACAGACAGTTTGATTTTATAGTCGTCAATGCCAAAAATTCTGCTTCACTTAAACACAGTACAAAATTTTACTGTTGTCAAATTTTTTATGGCCCACACATTTGGTTACATGAATCCCTTTAAGATTGTGACCCACAGTTCAAGCAGCGATGCAATAGTGCAATAACTGTGAAAACTTCAGTTTTTGGGACTAAATATAGAACTGAAACCTTGTCAGTCTTCAGAGATTTTCTTCAATCCTTCCAACTTTGCTTTCATTAAAATTTTCACTTTTCTATCACATCTCCCTTTCTGAAAATGATTAATTGTTAGCTGGGGCCTAAAATTTTTTTTTCTGAATAACCTTTATAATAATAATAATAATAAAAATAATAAAGGGTATTCAGGGAGTAATTATAATAAGTTCTTAATTTTCAGAATACATTAGCAAAACTGAAACAAATAAGAACTTTGGAATAAACAATGTTTATAAAGTTAAAGAATATCATAGTTGGAAGGTGAGTGAAAACTAAAATTTAGTCAATAGCAATAAAATTGAGTAAGTAGCTATTTTAATTATCTCAAAACAAATTTTAGAAACAATGCAAACATGTGCAATAAAATTAACAATTAGTTGAGCAAAACAGGATGACAGGAAGTCAAATGAAAAAGGAAGTGTGAATAATAATAATAATCATAATCTGTGGTCAATGTCATGTGAATAAACTATTTTAGTAACTATTAATAGTTAAGAAAGCTAAAGAAGAAATAATATCTGATTAATAATAACACAAAGAAGTTTTTCTGATAAATATTTTAAGTTAAAAACTTGCAAAGCTTAAATTCAGGCATTTTGAAAGACATGTCTATTGAAGTAAATGAGATACAAATTAATGATCAGAATAAAAAAGTATTTTTAACTCTTCCAAATTCTATAGATTAGAGTGAGATGTGAGCTATCTGGCTTGGTGATCTATAAATAAATCTTTATTGATCATCTTTAAATCAAGAAATATTTGGGTACAGAACTACCAGACAATAAACATTAGAGAAAAATGCAGAGAGAACTTATGAGATCTTAATTTGTTTCCATTATTATGTTTTTTAACTCTTTCTGCTCTGTGGACACTAAATGAGCTTTTTTTTTTTTAGCAAGTCCATTTGAGTTTGGCCAGGCCCACAATGGGATGGTCAAGGAGCAAGGGACAAAGCCAAACATATCCAGATAGATCATCACTTGAAAAATTCCTAGGGTTTTTCAAACTGTCTAGATTTGATATATATGCTGCCACCTTAAATGAATTATAAAATAAATTTGAACTTCCAAATTGTGCCTTTCTTATCTCACTGGTTAAAGAGGGAACAAAGTAAAGAAACACCCAAAATACTGTCTAACCAACAAACAGATTAAAACCAACAGTCATATCCCTACTTCTGCATAGTGCTTGTGTAAAATGGTAGTATTTTCTCAATGATTGTATGTTATCATTATTATATAGTAGACTACACTTATTGTAATCATGAATCAGTTACCTTAATGTTATCAAAATTATTTTAAGCAAATTGTACGACTCCACAAGTTGCAAGAAAAGAATAATGCTAGAATCAATTAAACTATCCAGGATTTATTTCAGATTAAATGTTTTTTTGAGATTATGCATCCCATTATCCTACATAATATTCAGTGGTCTGATTCTGCCACATTGTATCAATATATGTATTCCATCTGTCAATACAAGACAGCTTTCTTCTATTGTCATTCCATTCTACCATCTCAATGTAACAATTAAATCATTCTTCTTTGGCCATTTTAAAGCATCCAATAAAATCAAAAATAAATTGTATCTAAAATTCCATAAATTCAAATTTCTTTGTAAAAGTGTTTTGTATTTTCCCTAAATGCCTAATTTGTTTATTGTTTCTTTTATCATCAAAATAGATAATAAATTTTAATGGATATTATTGTTTACTTGTTGTATAGAGCAGTGGTCTCCAAAGTGAAGTATGCAAAGTGATACTGGGGGTACGCCAAGTTTTCCTTCAAAATACTATGTCCCCCTATACAGCCAAAATATTGTAATTCTAATTCAAAATGTAAATTTGTAATTTAATTTAAATGTACATATATTGTTTAAAACAAATAAATAATAAATAATTTGATTTTTGATCCCACCCACCCACACGTAGAGCAGCTTTTATCATTAATTTATCATTAATAAAAGCTGAGGCAACTATATTTATAGTAAAGCATCGATTATCCAAATACCTATCAACTGAAACATCGGTTAACTGAAAGCATTCCAGTTGGAGAATTCAAATTTCTGCTAGTGCCGTGGTGCTGCAATATTTGGCTATGTCTTGGGCTACTCCAATTATTATTTTTGTTGGTGTGTGTGTGTTTTAGCTGACAGCCCTGGCACAACCATATTGTATTGTTAAAAATTATTTCTTTATTCTGCACAAACAAAAACACATTGAAAAATATAAAAACAAAAAAAAAATTATATTTCAGAAGTTAATCTAATATCAAAAACGTTCTGATTGACACACGTCGAGAGTACTTAAGGATGTGCCAGTATTTGAATGAGACTTTTTCCCCCATCATGAGTTATATTCTAGGAGCTTGCATTGTGAGTGGTGTGTTTTGCTTCAGCTCATCGGAGAACATAACCCAAGTGGCTGACATCTCCAGATAAACTAAAGAAAAAGAAAGAGTTTTGCTTGTTTTGTGTGGTGTTTTTCTGAGGACTGTGTGGTGCTGAATTGGAACATTTTTTATACGTTAACTTCCAAAATATAATTTTTTTTTTGTTTTTATATTTTTCAATATATTTATTCTGTTTGTGCAAAATAAAGAAATATTTTTTAACAATACAATAGCCATGATTATTTTTTTTAAAAATTTCGTTAAACTTAACATCAACAAAAATCCAACATGAAGTAACACACAACGAAGAAAAATTTCAACAGGGGATAGGTTATATTTTTTCATACATGATCAGTTATCCGAACAACCCCAGTCCCAAATCGCTTTGGATAATCGATGCTCTACTCTACTGTATATATACAGTAGACTCCTGTACAACGCGGGGAATACATTCCATGTTGTAGGAAATCTCATTACAGGGAACATACATTATCGGACCAATTTATGCAAGTTCAAACATGTCTCTACATTTTAACTGCTATCGCATGTTGCTAGTGAGATGTGATTCAGTTTGAAATATTATTATGGAGCAGGATTTGTTGATATGAATGAGACAGATATCACTGAATTAATTAATTACAATGAAGACATTGATGAAACAGAATTAATAGAATTAACAAATTGTTCTCAATCTATTAATGATAAGGAAAATTCATTCCAGACTTTTAATGAACCAGAGAAACCTTGAATTTAGAAGATTTATATAAACAAGTAAAATGGCAAAACCATATTTGGGACAACACTATGTCTCGGAGACTCACTACTAAGCGGAATCACTTTGACGCTCAAGGCAGGTCTCTTTCTCATTCTCCAATATTCTTTGGTATCGCCTGTTTTGGGCATGGTAGTCAAAC